CTTGATCCTTTTGGGAGATGCACAGAGACACTGAAATAGTTTGTTGAATAATTCTCATAACAAATTGTCATTTTAATTAATGATACACATTGATTCTTTAAGACAATTTATGCCTTAGGAGTTTAGTACATCACTGGTATAGTATCATAACCCAACAGTTAAAGCAAATTTAGTATTTTCTAAAGTATAACAACCTTGCCAGCAGGCATGCCAGCTAAGATAGTTAGACAAGCTACTCTAACTTGATCGATAGCCTGAAATGGCTTGGTAGCTAGTTATGAGGTTGGAAGATTGGGAACCTATCTAGCTGGCTAGCTAAAGCCAACTTAATAAAATTGCTAGGTGGCTAGTATTACAGAGAAACAGAAAAATATTTTTGCTTTATTTATTCATCAAGAAGGAATCAATAGGCTTCATAGCTTCATCAAATTAATTTACAAACATACTGTAACTCCTGCGAGTCCTGCCCATGACCGGTAGCTAAAATCAAATCAAACACTGTGTGTGTGTCACTTACATTTACTTCATTTAGCAGACACTCTTATCCAGAGTGACTTACAGGAGCAATTAGGGTTAAGTGCCTTGCTTAAGGGCACATCGACAGATTTTTCACCTAGTCAGCTCGGGGATTAGAACCAGCGACCTTTCGGTTACTGGCACAACGCTCTTAACCACTAAGCTATCTGCCGCCCACTTGACGCTTTCTCTCCTCCTACACTGACAATACTTATTTTTTATTTATTTTTAGTCATTTAGCAGACGCTCTTATCCAGAGCGACTTACATGAGCAATTAGGGTTAAGTGCCTTGCTCAAGGGCACATCGACAGATCTTTCACCTAGTCGGCTCGGGGATTAGAACCAGCGACCTTTCGGTTACTGGCACAACGCTCTTAACCACTAAGCTACCTGCCGCCCCTGTCTGCATGCACTAGAGTATCTCGCATCCTGCCTAGCATATCTTTGCTCAGTGGTGCACCTTGGAAGGAACCACTTACTAAGGAAAAGACAGCTGACAGATATTTTTATAAATAATTATGATAAAACGTGGTCTTAAAAATTAAGTTTAGTAATTACTTTAACATCTGAAAAATGAATACAAAATAAATCAAATACAAATATTTAAAATTACTTTTTACAAAATCTGAGGTGCACTTTTGCCCCCTATGGGCATGACGTCTCTGCATGTCTCTGAAATTCCACTCTCTGGAATGTGATTCTTTGAGGTTTGAATCCATAAAAATATATTAAATAACCCTGTTATTCTGCATTTTATGTCCAGTTTATCCTGCCTTTCAATATGTTAAATCCGTGGTCCTGTGTGGCTCAGTTGGTAAGAACGTGGTCCAAAGGTATCTAGTTCCAATGGTACAGAATATTGAATTCCAATACTTTGTAAACAACAGTGTGGACCATGAGCAGACATACTTTGTAAACAACAGTGTGGACCATGAGCAGACAGACTTGGTATGTTGGGCTAACACACACTGAAAAGTAACACTTTAAGTACTAGCCCTGAACCCGCCTTAACAGAGTACATGATGATTTGGCCTATGCTCTGTCATAGGTCAGGGTTCAAGTTGAGGACACATTATTATTTATTTCCATACATTGAATTAACCTCTGCACCCATGAGCCTCCATGAACCATGCTACCTGTGCAAAACAAAGGAGATAATCGTGGACTTCAGCAAACAGCAGAGGGTGCATCCCCCTATCCACATCAACGGGACTGCAGTGGAGAAGGTGGAAAGCTTCAGGTTCCTTGGCGTACACATCACTGACAAACCGAAATGGTCCACCCACACAGACAGTGTGGTGAAGAAGGCGCAACAGAGCCTCTTCAACCTCAGGAGGCTGAAGAAATGTGGCTTGGCACCTAAAACCCTCAAAAACGTTTACAGATGCACAATTGAGAGCATCCTGTTGGGCTGTATCACCGCCTGGTACGGTAAATGCACCGCCCACAACCACAGGGCTCTCCAGAGGGTGGTGCAGTCTGCCGAACGCATTACCGGGGGCAAACTGTCTCCAGGACACCCGCTCTCCAGGCACCCGATGTCACAGGAAGGCCAAAAAGATCATCAAGGACATCAACCACCCGAGCCACTGCCTGTTCACCCCACTATCATCCAGAAGGCGAGGTCAGTACAGGTGCATCAAAGCTGGGACCGAGATACTGAAAAACAGCTTCTATCTCAAGGCCATCAGACGGTTAAATAGCCATCACAAGCACATTAGAGGCTGCTGCTGCCTATTGAAATCACTGGCCACTTTAACAAATGGAACACTAGTCACTATAATAATGTTGACATATCTTGCATTACTCATCTCATATGTCTATACTGTATTCCATACTATTCTACTGTATCTTAGTCCATGCCGCTCTGTCATTGCTCATCCATATATGTATATATTCTTAATTCCATTCCTTACTTATATTTATGTGTATTGGGTATATGTTGTGAAATTGTTAGATATTACTTGTTAGATATAACTGCACTGTCTCAGCTAGAAGCACAAGCATTTCGCTACACCTGCAATAACATCTGCTAAACATGTGTATGTGATAAATAACATTTGATTTGATTTTATTTGATGTGTGAAGTCCCTACAACAGGTGGTTTTATTTGGCTCCCAAAGTTTTTGGAGCAAAATGTTCATTGTTGGACATAAAAGACTGTAAATGTAACAGTGTTGCTTCCGTCCCTCTCCTCGCCCCTACCTGGGCTTGAACCAGGGACCCTCTGCACACATCGACATCAGTCACCCTCGAAGCACCGTTACCCATCGCTCCACAGCAGCCACGGCCCTTGCAGAGCAAGGGAAACAACTACTTCAAGGTCTCAGAGCGAGTGATGTCACTGATTGAAATGCTACTAGCGCACACTGCTAACTAGCTAGCCATTTCACACCGGTTACATAAAAACACTAGGAAATCAGCTCCAAGTGATTTTAATTTTGGAAATCTGTTTCCAAGTATTCCCACGCATAATACAGAGACATGTGATCATACACAAATATAAGCAAGGTTTGAAATGATTATGTTTGGGCTTCTTGCAGTCAATTTGCAGTCTACAAATTATTTGTAATTATGTTCCAGCCCATTGACCATCTGCTCAAGAAAAAATCGGCCTGCTGCTGAATCTAGTTGATGATACCTGCCCTACAAACGTGTAGTGGACACTGTGGAAATGTATCTATTTTTATCCATGACCCAAGTCACGCCGCAGTCACGCCCCAGGCTGTCTTTGACGCTACTTGACTGATATCTAGCGGTACAGGTATGAATTGCTCTCTATGATTTCTCTACTTCTCTACTTCTGCCGATTTTCATGAATGATGTGAATAAAAATACTAACATGTCGTTCAATAATAAACAAAAGTATACATTAACATACATTGTTGCGTTAATAAATAATACTGTGGTGGGCTACTTCTGGAAAATAGGCATCAGGGCATGATTGTGTAACTGCTAGATGAATAAAAATGCCACCAATTAATACATTTAAATCAATAAACATGTTATTCTGAATGTATTGCATACAATTTTATATTGGATACATACTAATAAAAATATAAATTCACTTCAGGAAGTACACAGGACAAAATACTGATGTGTTTTGCCAAAATTACATGGGCATTTATTTTATTTTGTGACGTTTAATCTATTGTCATATACACTTGAGAAAATATTACAGACAAAGGACAAAACGACACGGTATATTTCCCTCTGTGGGCTTTCAAATAATCTGCATGTATTTTTAGCCAGGCAAGTATTTTGGTCGCACCGCTTCCATTCAGGCATTTGGTTGGCAGGCTCCGGGTCCTTCCTCCTTTTCCTCATCCCTGAGAGGCTAACGCCAAGATGGTGAGTCTTGTGGCACAAAATGTAGAATTACATCCTTCGTTTATCTTAATCATCCTTTCATTGTTGTTAAAGTCGTGAAGTCTGAATACATTGACAAGTCATCCCGTTAGGAATATTACAACATTTAAGTTGTAAAAGTTGTTTTTAGTTCTTTAAGAAGTCTGATGAATTTTGGTGGCCTAACCGAGCTCTGGTTGTTGGACCGCCTCTTCTGTCGGTTGTACAAACCATTCAGTAATTTTATAACGTATGACTTCAAATTTTCCACTACTACGAGTTGGCGGCTATGTTGTGTTATTTTACAGTCTTGTATAATGCCATTATTTGGCCAGCACGGGCAATATGGCTAGTTACATACTAGCATGGTGTCCTCGACTGCTGTGGCTAACGGTAGTCGCTGGCACTGCATGTCAGTTGTAAAGCAGCATTGTGATTCTGGAAACTATCTAGCTAACTTGCTGCCACAAGATGACTAACGCTAACTTACCACAAATGCATGGTCTTTGACATGTACCTTGTAATCAATCCACCCAGAAGTGCTGAGGTGTTTGAAGTGGTTAGTTTGCAAGATCTGTTTAGATGGAAGGTAGCTAGCTAACGTTGGCCGGCTAACTAGCTAGCGAACTAACATTAATGACGCTAACAACCTGTCAGGATTAATTGATTTGAGTATCTACTTAGGGTGTTGTTCAGGTATCTAGCTAGCTACTAAATCTTACCTGTGTAAGTAGCTAAATCCAAGGTAATGTAGTTGACTAACTACCTCTAGTTGCACGGTGTGATCTGATGTGTAATTTTCATGCAACAAGTAACTTTTCTTTTGGCCTGCTAATTAACTAGCTAACGTTACCTGACAAAGCCAACGGCTGTTTCAATACTTGTTGCTGTAGACTACTTGTATATATATAGTAGGGGGGTGTGTGTGTAAGGTCCCCAGCGTGTCAGGACCCAGTTCCAGTCGTATTTTTCTGATTTTGTTGAAAGTAGTAGCTAGAGTATAAACACTTTGCCTTTCAATTTCTGTAAAACCAACAATGTGTTCACCTGCAAGAAGGGGTTCTGAAAAGCTACCTATAACGGTATCGGCATTCCAGTATTGTGAGTGTTAACCTCGGTTTTCAATCTACTTTCAGAACGACACAGTAACCGTCAGAACCCGGAAGTTCATGACAAACCGGCTGCTTCAGAGGAAGCAAATGGTAAGCCCAAATGTTTCTTTCCTACCATGTATAACACCAAAACATGATCTCAATTGCTTTATACGGAGTGTTCAGTAGACATTTATTAGTAAAGCAATTGTCTGCAGTTTCCTTTCAAGTGCTGCGTGGTCTAAAATAGTTTCTCCATTGTCTCTTGTTCTAGGTTGTTGATGTCCTCCATCCGGGCAAAGCCACAGTCCCTAAGACTGAGATCAGGGAGAAGCTGGCCAAAATGTACAAGACCACCCCTGATGTGGTGTTCGTCTTCGGCTTCAGGACCCAGTTTGGTGGCGGCAAGACGACGGGCTTCGCCATGGTCTACGATTCTCTCGACTACGCTAAGAAGAATGAGCCCAAGCACAGACTGGCCAGGGTGAGTGGATGCTGGAAAAAGGGAAACAAGTGGGGGCGTAGCTTGTGAAATGCACCAATTGAAAGGATCTTCCTGTTTTTAGTCTTTATTCTTTTAATTTGTGTGACACCATGTCTGTGCATAGTTTGTCCCTGAGTCCTAGTGATGCTCTTGTAGCTCAATTGGTAGAGCGTGGCGCTTGTAAAGCCAAGGTAGTGGGTTCGATCCCTGGGACCACCCATACACAAAAAAGTGTATGCATGCATGCATGACTGTAAGTCGCTTTGGATAAAAGCGTCTGCTAAATGGCATATTATTTATATTATTATGCACAATGTAAGCAGTGCTGTTTAGTAAATATGTTTCTTGGCTCACAGCACGGTCTCTATGAGAAGAAGAAGTCCTCCAGAAAACAGCGCAAGGAACGCAAGAACAGAATGAAGAAAGTACGAGGCACCAAGAAAGCCAGTGTGGGCGCTGCTGGCAAAAAGGTAACTTGGCTGTTCTCCCTATGGTGCATTCCTCTTGTTCAAGGATGGGTGTGGCTCAATAGTCACAATTTTACTGTAGCTTATTTTGTCTTCGTCTGCACTGATTTTGAAAACGCAGTGGGTGAATGCGTAATGTTGGATGGCTACAAGATGTAGGCTGTTTTCACCAAAGCAAATTTCACATCTGTGCAGATGGAAGAGGGAGCTTCTTAAGACTATTGAAACACCCCAAGTGTCACTTCATTCTTATTAGTTAATTATTCATTACATGCATATCTTTTCCACTTTCTAAGTCTTAGTTTTGTCTGTATTTATACTTTCATACTGTTTTAATATGCGTCATCTTTTCCTCTCAACTACTTTTCTTTGGGACTGTAGAAGGTAAATGTTTTCATCAGTAGACTAACTGCTGTGTGTAGATAATACTACTGTGATGTTCCTAGCTGTCTCATCCCAATCCTCCCATTCATATAACCAAAAAGGCTACTGCCTATTTACATGTGGATTTATTTAACGTCCACATGTAAATTTCAGTTTAGTCCCCTACCAGTTAATACTTAGCTGCTCACTCTAACTCATGACACTAATGTTGGTGAGTGAACTGAACACTAATAGTGGTTTAGATCCCAAGTTAAACCATATTGTTGTCTTAAGACTCAATAGTAGGTCGCCAAGTGGATCTCTGAAAGACTAGAAACTAGAGCCGTTTCTCAATTAATTCCTTGACGACCCCAATGGAGAACACGTGTTTGTTTTCGCCCAGCACTAACACATAATTCAACTAATCAAGTCTTAGTGCTCGGTTAGAACACAAATGTGCACCCCCCAAGAATGGATTGATGGACTTTTTCTAGAAGCTGCATTTGTGTGTATTTATTGAAATGCCCACATCTGGTGCTCAGCATTCAGTTTGGACTGTAGTCTTTTCCTGGGTGGAATTGGTCCTGACTTTGTAATTCATCTTGGGTGCAAATCTTATGCCATGCAGAGATCTATTCTAGGAGGGAAGAATTTGAGGTAAAAGAGCTTAACATTACCCTCATCCTTTTGCTTTTTTTTTGCCTACTGTGGATTTCTTTTACAGAAATGAGGTCTGTTCCAGGTATAAAGCAAAGCGGGCATGGTGTGCTGTTATTCATGTGTTGAAATGAACATTTCTCTTATATCCTGGTAGCGCTAGTAGAGACCTGTCTCTGCATGTCTCACCTGTAGTCTTCCCACAACCTTTTATCTACCAATACCAACCTTACCTCTTCAACCCACCCTCTTTCCCCAAACTCCTAAACCTACCCTGGCTGGTGGTACTTATACTCTGACAAATAATGATATATCCACTAACTTAAATAAACAACATTAAATTGCACCACTACTTTGCTTCGGAATTTTGCTATTCTTATTCTGCTGTTAAGCTATTATAACTTAGTATATTTGTCAACCGCTCTACAGTTATGCTAACATGTGTTACGAGCGGTGATCTTTGGTTGCCGTGTAATAAAGCAAGTCTAGAGTGATGCATTGGATAATAAGTTAAAACCAACTGCTGTCTGTGTGAGACAACTGAACCACAACTTTTCTAAAACGTTAACATTCATCATTTCATTTAGGCATGCGTTTCATTTAATGTAATGTTCTTTGATACATGTTATTTTATTATACTAGACTGCCTAATAAATTGGCATCTTCACTGAGCTGAAATGTAAAATATGCACTATGCAGAAATCGCTCTACCATTTCCTGGTTGATAAAATTGTACGTTTGCCTAATTTCAGTTTGTGACAAAACAAGCAAGTAGTGTGTAGAGAATCATTGTACCATCTAAACCGCGGTGAAATATATTTTCCATAATATTGTATTTTTGGCTGTTTGAAGCTGGTGTACAAAGACTAAAGTAAAAGACGCAAAAATGAAACTTAAGAATGGTAAGCATAGAAAAAGTGCACATAGAACCGCTTCTTAGACTTGCTTTCAATGACCGATCGATAACACATTACTATGTGAATTCAAAAAGTTACATTGCAGCTTTAACTGTAATTTTGAAGTTGTCATTTGGATCCATTTACAAAAACAAATATGTAGGTTGAGCCCCATTCCTAGCAAATGCATCTGTTCCCACTCCCAATTTCAATACCATTACCCTCCTTCAAACCCTCAGCCCAAAAATGACCCCTCTTCCTCTAGTTGAGTTGACACCCCCCCCTTGGGTATATGTGGATAGATAAATGGTGAACTTCTGTTTTGCAGATTAACTAACTTATCTTCCTCTGTTTTCCTACAGTGAGCCCGGAGAATCAGGGATGGTCCTCGTGCTCAAGATGTTCTTGTATATTGTCATCAAATAAAAATTTTGAAAAAAATTGAACTGTCCTGTTTTCATAATCTTTTTACATGCCCTAGACAAATTAACTATTTTACATGTTTGTGTGTATACTATTACATTTGCAGTGTGCTTTAAGTTGGTTATGTTCAAAGTATACTGAACAAAAATATCAACGCAACATGTAAAGTGTCCCATGTTTCATGAGCTTAAATTTAAAGATCTCAGAAATTGTCCATACGCACAAAAAGCTTATTTCTGTCAAATGTTGTGCACAAATTTGTTTACATCCCTGTTAGTGAGCATTTCTCCTTTGCCAAAATAATCCATCCGCCTGACAGGCATGGCATATCAAGAAACTGATTAAACAGCTAGATGGTCTTGTCCCCGCCCTAACAATAGGAGGCGTCCTGAAGGCATGGGGACAGCTTATTCTGCTTATCGCTGCATCCCCTCATGAACAGATTGACAGGATTGGACCCTGTCGCTTTGTCTCTGATGCTGGTAAATGTAGTTAGTAATGGATCAGAAAATGAAGACTTCAGAAGCAATGTAGAATATTTGACCCTATCTGTTGGAGAGTCCCCATACTGGGCCATCAACATTACAGATTCCTGGGAGTGGACAGACTATATTTTTTTGGCCTACATTCTCATTCTTTTGATACTGTTGAATGGTGGTTGAATGAGTCTGAAAATATCCAATATTACCGAATGCATTGAATGTTGAATTACTGAGGTGATTTGTGGATAAACTATTGTCCTATATGATAATGGTCTCATACGCTGGTCCAGTGTGTTCTTTCTCTTTGTAGACATTTATTTCGCTCTTATGACCTGAATATGTCTAACTTATTTTCTCATGATGAGATAAGAGATAAATGAAGGGCTTCATTCAAATGAAATCGAAAATATTTGATGTGCTTTGTCAAAATGGTTCCATTGTGTCCAAGACTGAAGAACCTTGGTGTGAGCACAGAGCTGAACCAATGGTGCTACGATGCAGAGACTACTACTGCTGCAATTCACTCTGATTCGTCTCGGCCTATGTACTCTTTGTTGACAACATACCTGGCATGTACCTGGTTCCTACCAGGTGACATGGAAAGGTCAGCGTCCCCACCTTACCCCCTCTACTGCTGTCCCCAAGGTCTCAACACTAGGTCCCCCTGAGTTCTCTACACAAACTAATTTGCTTCTGTCACACCCTCACATGGTCTCATCACTGTTATGCTGACAGGACGCTAGTTTCATGGCCCTCAACTCTTTCTCACACCCCTGACAAATGATTTCTGTGTGGATGGCAGACATCTCTGCTTGGATGTTGACCCACTACCTCAAGCTAAAACTCTACAACATAGCACTGCTATTCCTTCCTGGGGAAGGCGTGCCAGATCTAAGTCCTCTCCATCACGGTTGACATACTCCATTGTTGTGTCCACCTTCCAGACTGTGAAGAACCTCCGTGTGTCGACACCCTGTCGTGGAGTTCAGCGCTGAACTGATGGTGCTAATGCTGCAACACTTTGATTCACAGATCATTTCAACCTGTACATTCCATTTTATGTCTCAGGCTCTGCACTCTCTTTGTTGTCAACTTGGCATGACAGGTGAAGTGACACAATGTGAGCTTGAGAGATCAGGCTAGTTTAACGAGGCTAGCTATAAAACCAAGTGCACCCAAGCAAACACATCAGTAAGTAGCCTTGGCTGGAACAGATCATAGGGCAGCAGCCTATCATGTAGCGTGATTGTACAAGTACACCCCCTGGACAGGACACTAGTTTATTGCAGTGCCTTACCCCAGCACCAGAGACGCATCAGGTCCGGTTTTTACATTCTTTGGTATGACTCAGCTAGGGATTGAACTCACAACCTTCCTTTCTCAGGGCGGACACGCTAACCACAAGGCCACTGAGTTGGTATATCAGCTATTTAGTTACAGTGTGGCGACCCTGGGAATATCACTGACGATCAGGGTACTTCACCAGGATGTCATTTTGTTAGCTGGGTAACCAGGGTAACCAGCACCCAACCACCTACATTCTCATAATTTCAACAAAGGACAAAGAGTATGATTTGTAGTTAAACATGAAAGAGCACCCCGGATTTATTCTGGCACCGCACACATTGAGTGTAGCTACACAGCAGGCCTATGAGCCTGTGTGAATGACCCTCTAGACTTCTCTTTGGAGGCATTTCATTCTCTACAATTAGCATAGCAGTAAACACTAATCAAATATGCACATAATCAGTGCAGTTAGT